TCACTGAAGTAGAAACTGAAGATGTACATTCTGTAGAAGTACCGACTGACACCACTGAAGTAGAAACTGAAGATGTATGTCCTGTAGATATACCGACTGACATCACTGAAGTAGAAACTGAAGATGTATGTCCTATAGATATACCGACTGACACCACTGAAGTAGAAACTGAAGATGTACGTCCTGTGGGTATACCAACTGACACCACTAAAGTAGAAACTGAAGATGTACGTCCTGTAGATATACCGAATGACACCACTGAAATAGAAACTGAAGATGTATGTCCTATGGATATACCGACTGACACCACTGAAGTAGAAACTGAAGATGTACGTCCTGTGGATATACCAACTGACACCACTAAAGTAGAAACTGAAGATGTACGTCCTGTAGATATACCAACTTACACCACTGAAGTAGAAACTGAAGATGTACATCCTATAGATATACCGACTGACACCACTGAAGTAGAAACTGAAGATGTACGTCCTGTGGATATACCAACTGACACCACTAAAGTAGAAACTGAAGATGTACGTCCTGTAGATATACCGACTGACACCACTGAAGTAGAAACTGAAGATGTACGTCCTGTAAATATACCGACTGACACCACTGAAGTAGAAATTGAAGATGTATGTCCTGTAGATATACCGACTGACCCCACTGAAGCAGAAACTGAAGGTGTAAGTCCTGTGGATATACCGACTGACACCACTGTAGTAGAAACTGAAGATGTAATAATAATAATAATAATAATAATAATCTTTATTGTAATCGTATCCTTATTAGGATCCTGACAAAAGTGTACAATAAAGTATAGAGAAAAAAAAAAAAAAAAAAAAAGTAGTAAAATAAAATAATTACATTAAACACATTAAATAGAATTAAAATACATGTAACTATTTAGATTTTGAGGCAGATGACATACTGTTTTTTAGCTCCGCTGTCGACTTTGTCGAGCGGAGCTTATCATATGAGTGATTGTCCGTCGTCGTCCGTCGTCGTCGTCATCGTCCGTCGTCGTCGTCCGTCGTCCATGTCAATGTTTTACTTTTTCGACTTCTTCTTGAAAACTACAAGCCTGAATGCTTTGATACTTGGTGTATATGTACCTTGGGTAGACCTCTCTCAGATTTGTTCATTTCATGATGATATCTTCAATTCTCTAATTTTGGTGAATATTTTTGTCATTTTTAGTAAAAAGTGATATTTTCGACTTCTTGTTGAAAACCGCAAGTGCAATTGCTTTGATATTACATATATAGGTACTACATGTGGACCTCTCTCAGATTTGTTCATTTTGTAATGATATCTTTAATTCTCTAATTTTGGTGAATATTTTTGTAATTTTTGGTAAAAAGTGATATTTTCGACTTCTTGTTGAAAACCGCAAGTCCAATTGCTTTGATATTACATATATAGGTACTACATGTCGACCTCTCTCAGATTTGTTCATTTTGTAATGATATCTTTCAATTCTCTAATTTTGGTGAATATTTTTGTAATTTTTGGTAAAAAGTGATATTTTCGACTCTTGTTGAAAACCGCAAGTCCAATTGCTTTGATATTACATATATAGGTACTACATGTGGACCTCTCTCAGATTTGTTCATTTTGTAATGATATCTTTAATTCTCTAATTTTGGTGAATATTTTTGTAATTTTTGGTAAAAAGTGATATTTTCGACTTCTTGTTGAAAACCGCAAGTCCAATTGCTTTGGTATTACATATATAGGTACTACATGTGGACCTCTCTCAGATTTGTTCATTTTGTAATGATATCTTTAATTCTCTAATTTCGGTGAATATTTTTGTAATTTTTGGTAAAAAGTGATATTTTCGACTTCTTGTTGAAAACCGCAAGTCCAATTGCTTTGATATTACATATATAGGTACTACATGTGGACCTCTCTCAGATTTGTTCATTTCATAATGATATCTTTAATTCTCTAATTTTGATGAATATTTTTGTAATTTTTGGTAAAAAGTGATATTTTCGACTTCTTGTTGAAAACCGCAAATCCAATTGCTTTGATATATTATACATATAGGTACTACATGTGGACCTCTCTCAGATTTGTTCATTTTCTAATGATATCTTCTGTTCTTTAATTGCCATGTGCATTGCTAACAGCGGAGCTATCTCAGCCGACAGGCTGCTTGTTTATTTCATTTTTCAGAGAATAGATGCTGTAATATGTCATGACATTTACAGTAGTAATAATATTTCAAAATTAATTTCTGTAAAAATGCAATAAAACATTTCTATGTAATTGTTTGGTTATCAGCTAATTTATTATCAAATATATTTCATAGCGATAATATTTTATACAAGTATCTGAGACTGTTATCGTAGATCTAGTATTGCCCAGCCTCATAACACTATGGGTATTGCACCCTCATATCAGAGAAATAATTTCCCATATCACGCTCGGCCCAGTGTGCCAAGTTTTCATTAAATTATATTTCATTAAATTATAAATTACACTGTGTTTGAGCTCACGCCATGATATAAGGTATATAATGAAACCTTCATAGACTAGATATGGCTTCTGGCTTTTGCTTCCCTTGGTCACACGGCTTACAAGCCATCAAAAGCTCAGGCACTTCTTCAGCATGACCTTGGGTCACAAAAACTGTATCCAGTCCGTAAAGATTATTACTCACTGTCAGTTAAAAAGTGGTAACTATCATTCAGAAACTGACAAAACTGGGGAATTTCATCAACAGGTGAAATCTAACATGAACAAGATGATGTATCCTGCAACACACCTACTGTTATGTGGAATGGCTTCACTTAGTATGCAAATTAAATCCATTGTTTGATTATATGACTGTATGTTTACCTATACCAGTAACTGGGCTTTTGAAAATAAATATTTGACCAATTGCATCATGTAGAGTAAATAAAAATACAATAAAATGTTACGTAATTGGAGATTTTTTTAAAAATTTATTTTTCTTATTTTTTCCCTGTGGCTGCAAACAGACATATATTTTCATATTCACATTTAATTGATGGTATTGTTTTCTGTTTTTTGTGAATTATTTTTATAACAAATTCTAATAATATTTCAAATTTCATATATGTCAGAGATTGTTATGCTGGTAGCTTCTATATGTATTGTGCATATATGGCTACCTAGGGCAATTGCATTCATCCCATTGATTCAACTCATCAAAAATTTATAAGACAAGCGTATTCAACTATTATAACCATATATGGTGATGTGCAATG